ACCTTTGTCTAAAGTTTGACTCTCAATACATGAACTTACAGAAGGTAATGTAATTGCCAGTATGTTGTGGTTATATGCTATATAACTACAATATACACAACATATTACTCGTACCGTCGTATAGTCAAGTAGGTATATTTAAGTTTCCAATAAATGTTTAAGTATAATTACTAAACATGCCCGTCTTCAACTGTAGATATAAATAAGCAGATCACATCATGAATCTTTATATGGTATAAAATATATGTTCAATTTCTGTTATGGTAATACATAAGTTTATATAAAAAGCCAGTAGAACATCGTTAGCCCGTCGTATAAATTGGCTAACAGCAGACATTGACTCTGCCGGTTGCTCAAAAGAGTTCAACGCTCGTCGAGTGGACGAACTAGTCGCACGATCTATACAATAGCTTTTTTGTGCAATCTTGCTTTTGGTTATGACATCATCCTGACTAGCAACTCGACGCTACCTATGTTCATTATCGACCCAACACTAAACTATCTTTGAAAACAGCACTCTATGTATATTGTTTAGTAATTGCGTAGACATTTTCCTGTAAATTATATTATAGAATTGATGTTACATTTCAGCTAATATGCTGTATATTATAGGAACTTCTGTAACATTTATGTAATGTAAATATTGTCTAAATAAGCACAGTACTGGTTTAAAAAAAAGGAAATGTAACAATAAAAAATATTAATAACGTTTAAATCAAAATTGTATCAGCTATTGTTATCAAAAACAACCTCTTTAGAAATGTTTTTCATATATATATATTATATTGCCCTTGTATTAGATTTTTGATGTCTTTTATTTTAGCATAGATTTTAACTTTGTAATCCCGATGTATATACATTATTACAATTTTTTAACGTATAATTTAACTTCACGATTTTTATACTGTCCTACTTTATAGCAGCACTAGCTATCAGCATTGTACACAGTCCAGCACTTAGCGTAATAAAACTTTTAAAGCTACAAAACCTAATATGAGTTACATTCCGCCCTATTGTTAATTAAATTGCGTAACACAAATCAGTATTTAAAAAAATCTGATGTACTGAATCTTTCCAAACATATAAATCTCTCGCTTTTTGTCATTTTTATCCGCCAGTTGATACAATAAAATGTAGATAATGCAATATCTTCTATCTTCTTGAAAATCATTATGTCAGTACTTTTCTGATTTGCGACTGTGTTGTGTACTATATAATATATAATGGAGCTTTACTTCACAGTTCATTAGACTGTTACATCTTCAATCGATGTTACTTAGCAACATAATCCACTGTTTTTTTCATCTCTAATTAAAACATATTTTGACTCCAGAAATGAGCCGACCTTTTTTGCAGTATTATACCTACTTGAGCCTGTGGATATTAGTTTTTATGAGTAAGTAGGTACACATAATTGGATTGGGCGCGCAAAAACTCCAATAGGAATATTTCGGTGGAGGCTTCATGCCCTCAGGCGTCGGTTACGTAAGTTCATCTAGTTTCAAGGTCGAGGACGTTGCTCCCAAATCGCTGATCGCGTCCTGCCAGCGTGGAGCGCAGTGGAGGGGCGTCTCCAAGTGGCCAGTTTTGGGCGTTCACTTCTTTTTTGTATACATACCTAATAATTATAAATATCCTCTATATACATATGAATACTAGATGCTTTTAATTATTTTAGGTATAGTGTATATTATTCTCAAAATTACAGGCCATAATAGAAAATGAATAGTTAGATACTTACATTTTATGAATATTTAAAGTACTGATACGTACTATAATACCACTTTTCAAAATCAATCAATAGCTTACATCATGAAAGATGGCTACCGTCGCCCGTATACATGAACCAAACACCAAGGTCGTTATAAAATATGCCGTCATGCTCATAGGACGTGGAAGAAGTCTAAGTATAAAACTGACTAGCTTTGATTTGTATTACACTTATTAGTTGGTTAGAGATTATGAATAAAATGTACTAGTGATATAAATCTAATATCTTCTAAAATAACATAATTATAAAAAATTAATAAACTACCCAAATAAGATAAGAGGATAATACATTATTGATAACAAAACCTTTTCTGAATGAACAGCTACCGAAATCGTAACACAAAAAGAAAGTCGAGCAACAATTGATTATAAATTGTCCACTCTAAGGGTGGTCACGTTACACGCCAAAGAAAACAATAACCATCCATGAAATACCCCTATCTTTATAGTTTCGGCTACTGAGTAATAAAACTTTCTTGTTGTGTCGTACAAGTAGCCTAGGCACGTATAATAGAACCATGCGGGCCATAACAAGACAAATTAGCATAGCTATTGTATATTTGTTTTATAAATTATTATTGTTCGAAGCTGATTTTTCTTAGGAATTTCAACTAACATGAGGTATAAGGAAAATAGAAAAAAAAACTCAAGTTATTTAAAAAATTCTTTCGCCTATAATGTAATCCATATTATCTGTGAGTATGACTATAGTTTTTTTTAATATACTTTTGAATAATAATAATTTTATTACTTTTGAAAAACTTAAACGTAAATATTTTAATAATATAAAAAATGTTTTAAAAAGTTTTTAATAAAAATATTATTATGTATTTAATGTATCTTTTGGCAACATGTTTACAGTTATGTAAATATAGTACGAATCTAGAATTAAATCTAATTTTAATCACTATCCGATATCTAATTGCACTGAAATTTCTTAAATGTAGTATATAGTTTCGTTTCGTATCTCAAGAAATCAAACTGTTAGTGAATAGATAATACTTCAATTATCGGTTTATTCTGTTACTATCTGCTATATTTTTCATATATATATATATATTTATAAAGCACTATAACATGAACAGAATTTTAAAAATTGGATTGCAATTGAAAATGCAATTGAAAATTATCAGTTTCAAGCAATATTATCTCATCTGTAGTTTCGAGTAATTTGACCGTAATTAATTATGCATTAAGTATAAAAAGCATACACTTCATTTTTATTGTATTATCAAAATTAAAAAACAAAATTAGAGATCCAAATGTGTACAAATAGATTAAAATAAGATGGGTATTATTTTATTATATTCATTTGTAAAATAATAAAAAATAAGCACATGTTTTTTTCTTGTTCAAAATGAGGCACATATTTTTATCACAGGAAACATAATAGTTTCTACGTTATTGTGTTTTTGTCATTGCAATGTGTATTTGGGTGGATGAGAGACCGTTAGATTTTTTACGAACATAATGGCCACCCTTTGAAGAAAAAAAAAGCTAACCTTAGCAGGTAGAGCAAATCTTTTCGTCGAGAACGGCGATTGTGGCTTCGATTGGTCTTATATAATACTGTATTGTTATTATTCGAATGTTCCACATTACTGTAATATGTATTCTTAACTGTAAATTTCCCTTATGTTAGCTCGACATTTGTTGTTACAAAGATCTTACGATAATATTATGAATCAGAAACTATATTCGTTATTGTAGTTTTTATGAAGAGAAATGTTCGATTCTATGTAAGAGCTTGAAACATCTGTCAGTTGTTAGTGATGTTTTTTATAATATTTTTAACAGATTTATTTATTTACGTGATTGTGAATAAATAATGTTAAGTAATTACTAATTACTGACTAAATTACAATTTCAGATGGAATGCTATTCCTGAATAATTTTAGTCTAATCTCAGTAAATAGTACAATATTAGAAATAATATTATTTCTAAATTTTTACACGTAACTTCATAATTCATTACAATTAAAAATAATACATTGTTAATATCTTTCATAGAATTGTTTAGGTTTATTTTCAAAAATAATATGTTTCAGTTAGTAGTTTGCCAGGGTCAAAAGTTGCTTGCCTCAATAAGTTGTTTGCACACAAATAAACTGCATTTCAGAGCCTTCTTCTTATTAGTTAATAGTATATATATATATATATATATATATATATATATATATATATGTATATATATATATATATATGTATATATATAGTTGTTATCACTCCTACAATAAAAATGTAATTCATCTCTGTGTGTATACGAAAGATAGGTGAGAAAAACTATTACTGCAGAATTTTATCAACATAAAACAATAACTTAGAATTTTTGAGTGAGTCTGGGCGATTATGCGCGTTAATAATCGGCTCTACCGATTTTGGTGCGAATTTCTCTAGTGCACTACATAACACACACAGCACACATTTTTTCAAATATTTTATGTTTATTATATTTCAATCGTTTAACAAACTAAAAGAGATATGGGTACGAAGTCGAGGGCTAAACGAAGGTTACATAAAGTAAGAATAATTAATTTAATTCATTTACACATTTTTTTTTCAAACTAAGACAAATTAGCGTTCGTACTGAAATTTCTTATATTATATCTTTATACATTACATATCATTAAAAGTTCATACATATATTTCATATACATACATAAAATTTCCAATAAACCTATTATATCTACATAGAAAGAAGTTTATTGGATATTTTAATATATTCATACAGTATTTTTAAAAATACCTATAATCCAAAATCTAAATTATTCATAAACTTATCTATTATTTCGCCAAATATTTCTGCAATATGTATATAGTGTAACTAAGTACATTACTAATAAATAATTCTCATAGTAAATAACATTGAAATGTCATAGGCACCTACACAGTGTACATCTGATTATTCCTTCTTAAAATTTTGTAGGCGATTTCATAACCTACCTACTTATTACTAAATTTTTTTTTTTCTCTTTTTAGTAATGTTGACGTTAAAGCTAGAACCAGCTCCGAAGGACCTAGTCTAGATCATCAGATAGAAATAGTAAAGATTTGATTAGCTTCGACCATGGCATTGCTGTGTGAGGGTGACAGAATCAGTGGTTATCTCTTTTCCGCGAACAGTTCATTCACCCGACGAGTACGGAAGAGCTCGGGCTGCGCGGGCGCAGGTACATGTGCGGACGCTGTGCTCGGGAGCCGCGCAGGAAGGACGTCTCCGACCATGAACCGAACGCTTTATCAGTTATCCGGAGGTGTCGGTACGCCGCGCCGTGTTCTACGCTCCGACATGACCCTCTAGTGACAAACGCTAATACGCTAACTAGACTGACTGCAACATAGATCTCAATATAAGACTTATTTTTACACTTTTCTATTCTTAAGTGACCAGTGACGTGTGGATTAATTTTAAGTGATAGATCTAGTGACAAACAATTTCCCGAGGATTTTCCAATTTGGATTTCATATATTTGGCAATTCTGGATTTCTCTTCAGGCTGATGGTTTGTATCAATTTCAATACATGTAATACTAACAGTAATTGATATTACTTATAATTCATCCTGATCCTGTTCTGGCTTTGTTTTCTTACAATCAAAAGACATCAACGCGTTTCTTACAGACAACCTAACCTTATGCAATTGTTTTGATATTTTGCCGGTTATAATAATCTTATTAACACGCAGTCTTATAATCAAATATTTAATAAAGTATATATTATATATGTTTATAGCTATTGAATATACCAATTATTACTTGTGAATATAATGGTAAAAATTAATTATAACATATATGTATAATCATGAAGAAAATTATGTTACTAATAATTTATATTAATTATAATTTTTATAACTGTAATGCATATATAGATAAGAATACGTTAGGTATTAAAATTAATTCGTTACAGTTATAAAACACTTTGGTACTATTTCTATAAATTGCATGTTCTTAAATTCATCTGTTATGCATTTTTACTATTATTTCGTTTATGCAAAAATATTATTGTAATAATATTTTATAACAACAATATTAGGATATAAGTTGAATATATTTTTGTTTTTAGTAGGTACTTTTTTATGTGTATGTATAATGTAATAATCTGTTTTGTTTCCTTTCACATATTTTTATTTCATTTTGCTATTATTAATTTAGTTATTACCCTGCACTTATATGTAGGTACTAACTGTAATTTATTTAGAAAATTAATTATTTTAGAAACATATTTATAAAAAGGTTTTAGACTTTAAACATTTAAAAATATACATTACTTCCAATGTATTAACATATCAATATTATAGACAATTACGAAAATATCAGTATATTGATATGTATACTATATAAATAATTAGTATATGAGGAACAAATAAGTTCATTTCCTAATAAAAATCATAATTAATTATAAATACAGGTTAAATAAAAATAGTCGAAAATACAGCAACCAGACTATTGTTGATAGGACATCGTCGTCATTTTGTGCAAAAAACCAAACCTTGAACTTTCCGAGTTCAAATTCAAGGCGAGTATTTATCACACACACATGTGATCTACCTACACTCTTACGTAAGACATGCCCGCCCCCCTCGCCCCTACACCCTCATCCATACATCTATCTATAATATGTGGAAATGCAATGGAGAATAAATTAAATAATCCAAACGCAAGTATTCGCAATGTGCTTTGTGATTATTCGTATAATTTATTCTATGAAAAATCATATATGTATAATATGATTTTTCATAGAATAAATTATACGAATAATCACAATATGTATAATCATAATTATCATAGCCAATAATCCTGGACGTTTGACAAAATCATTTTTTTTTAATTTTATACTACGATGGTAGCATACGGCCCATGTGATGGTAAATGGTTACCGTAGCCTATAGACGCCTGAAACACCGAAAGAAAAAGGGCAACAATTAACTATATTTGTTACCCTTTTATGTCATCATCATCATCTTAATTCTTCTAGATGTGTGTTGATGAATATGAAATAATGCATCGGCCTACGCGAATGTTTACATGTTGGTGGGGCAGCAGTAGAGGATGATAGGGTGGCCATAAAATCAGCTCAATTATGCCATCATGACAATTTCACCAGGAATTGAGTACAATGATTTCCAGGGGGAACCTTAACCCATATTGTATAAGACTTTTTTTTAATTAAGACGGCACTTTTTGATAGTTTTCTGCATTGAAAACACATCAATGTTAAATATGTACTTATAATTCTTTTTCTATAATTATTTTAGATTAATGTACAGAAAATATTATTATGCGTCAGAAACAAAAAATACAAGGACATAAATTATTATTTGCTTATATACATAATTCATTAAGTACATAACCACACACTCCACAGTGCGCAAATATTATAGGTACCATATAAAAAAAACAATCTGAACTAAAATGTACAAAGGAATATCGGCCCAGTGCTGTAAAGCAGATGATGCAATTTAGTATGAACGCAGCAGTTCGCAGTTTCGGCAATGACACTGACAACGACCGATGATATAACAACAGGCTGTCAAACCCGTGAAAACTCGGTCATTGAACCGCGGTGAGCTCGCCACTCAGCCCCACTTCGCACCGCTTTCGCTTACGCGATTTTGAAATGTACAATGCACCATATAAAGTCGAAATTGAAATAAAGCAATGTAATTAAATAAATTTTATACAGTTAAGATTTGACTCAAAATTGTAATCTCTGTATGTAAACTTGTTCTAATTGATTGGACAATCTACGCATACGCTATACTTAAATTTCTGGAAATAGTTTTGTTAAACAACCGAAGCATTCTCAAAAATGTCTCAAAAAGTCTTACGTTCCCACGGAACCTGATGATAATACTACTCGCGAAGGGAAGGACTGTTAAACAGATAGGTATATACAATGTTATATCATTATTTTTATATGCGGATTTAAAAACAACTGCATATAGTTTTTACAACTCACAGCGGACTCTTAACTGAACTTTTAATATTAATTTTCTAGTCTTTCGAAATAAATTTATCCGTTTAAAATAGGTAATTAATAATTTATTTAAAATAATAATAATATCTCAGGACCATTCACACAGCGCCATCTAATAAGAGCTAATAAGAGCTTCTATTATGGGTAATAGGTACCTGATATAAATATTAGATACATATTTTTTGTTAATACATACATAATAGAAAACACCCAGACTGCTACAAACAATCGTACTTATGAATATAAAAGTTCATTCAGTGCGAGGAATCGAACCTGCGACCATTGGAAGTAAGGCGGTGTGCTAAAACGCTAGACCACCGTGGCACACATTAAATTTAATTATTTACAATTATGTTATAAAGTCTTTTTTATTACCTATTTCTACATAAAAAACTCTACATATACTTTACTATAGCTAGATAAAGAAGAAGGATAAGTAATTACAGTTGTTGTAATTTAATGCTCTAGTATCTTCTAGAATCTACCACATACAACCAAATATACACTGGGTTCTCGTGACTGAGCCAGGAAGGTCCTTGATGGGTAGAAAGTAAATGTTCAAACGGCGCGCACGCGCAGTCCCAAAGGGGAATGGGGGGAGGTCAATGCGTGGAACCTGTTCGAACAACGGTACCTCGATATCGTGCCCCGAGCGGCGCTTACGAACCCATTATGTAATGCCCTTTTTCTTGCTTCACTGCTTTGTCGCATACGTCATAACAATATGTGAATCACTATACTGCTAGCGTATATAAACTTTTATCCCTTAATACAATAACGTATAAAACGTGAAATAAATGGAGACCTAAAATACTAATTATACTAATCCTAACCAGATTATAATAGTAGGTTATATGCCCGAAAGCCCATTTAATAAATCTTATAATTGTTTTCCTGGAGAAAAACACCACTGTGAAAACTTCAATACTTAATATTTGTATAGATTTTGTAATACGTTAAATAAATTCTAAGGGTTCAATAAACGCAATAGTAAATATAGTGATTACACAAAAATTAAAACTAAACTAGTAAACATACATAATCTTGTAATAATAATTAAAATTGCTGATAACTAAAAAATTTCAATCTGATATTGTCGTCAATCTGCTGATAAGACACTGTTCATTGAACCTATTTCTATAAATAAAGTGTGATAACATTCGTTGGCAAATAATATTTTCTGATCGATGGGCAGGTGGTTACCGTAGCATATGGATCCTTGCAAAGTAAAATACACGAGTACATGAATAATTTCACTAATTTCTTACTTAAGTTTCCAGAAACATCTTTAGAAATGTAAGTCAGAAATATGTTTCTGTAGTAGAGTAGAGTGACCCTCATTGGTATCAATGTACTATGACAGGACCTACACATGGTCCCTCCTGGAAACCATCCGAGCCAGGTGAAGTCGCCACGATATGGTAAAGTTGTTATTAGGTCTGCCACTGGTGCCCTGCCACAATACATTGTTAGCCAGGCCAGTGCACATACAAAGAACACTTTTAAAACATCATCATTTCAAATTTTATAAAAACTTTTAAAACAAAATAATTAAATAATTGTGTCACAAATTCCTTTCTTCTTTCTTCTTCTATTACCGCTAAAAAGATTTAATTTATCGTCTCTCCTCAGTTTCAAGACACTCTCCTTGATGTGAAGCCAAATCTCGAGGTCCTTGGCGTTGATATATACAGTGACGTTCAGTTTTGCGGTCATTTGGAGAACAAGGCTAAAATAGCCTCAAAAAAGCTTGGTGTGCTCAGTAGAGTGGGACGGTATTTCACGGCGGCCCATCGCTTGTAATTATACAAGGCAGATCCGGCCGCATATGGAATACTGTTCTCATCTCTGGGCGGGAGCACCACAATACCAGCTACTTCTATTTGACCGCATTCAGAACCGAGCAGCCAGAATAATTGGTAATCAACGACTATCTGACAGACTCGACCCATTGGCTTTGCAGCGAGATATTGCATCTCTGTGCATTTTCTACCGCATATGTCACGGGGAGTGTTCTGAGGAATTGTTCCGATTAATACCAGCTGCTGAGTTTCACCACCGTACCACCCGCCAGAAACTGAAATACCATCCTGATCATCTGGATGAATGGCGGTCTTCCACAGTACGGTTGTCTAGAAACTTTTTGCCTCGCACAACCACATTGTGGAATCACCTTCCAGCAATGGTATTTCCGAACCGATACGATATTGAAACCTTCAATAAAAGAGCTTATTCCTTTTTAAAAGGCCGACAACGTACTTGCAATTCCCCTGGTGTTGCGGGTGCTCATGGGCGGCGGTAATCACTTACCATCAGCTGAGCCGCATGCTCGTTTGTCCCCTGTGTTATAAAAAAAAATATATTTCCCTTCTTAAAAGAGTTCCTATAATTTAGGCGTGATACTGAAAAATACACCCATAAAATCTTGTAAAAGTCTCAATTACTCTAAAACCTCAGATTTTATTTTGTACACAAATTAAATAAATGCAAGAAACTCTAATTTTTTAAATATCTATGACACGATCC